GTTTATTGGTTAATGAAAATGTGTTTAGTTTATGTTTTTAAAAGTAAATTATTTAAATTAGAAGATTTTACTTTCTGGTTTTTATGGTGCATTGGACTTGGAATTATGTGGGTATGCTGTAGTAAATTTGCTAGATATAAAGCAAGAAGGGGTGCAAATTCTTTATGGAGATTTTTTTAATTACTGTAAATCTATTGAAATTCAACTATCAATACATTATAGCAAATTCAATTACAAACAATTTTAAATATAGAATTAATAATTTTATTCAAGAAATACTATATTATGTATCTTTTTTATAAAAATAACTAAAATATTAATTCATAGTATAAATTCCATATCATTCAATCAATAAGAGAAAATTTTTATTGTAATAACATCAATTACACTTTTCATTAATATCTTTTTTAAATAGGCGCATCAATAAAACCAACATATTTGCACATAAAACTTTGGATATCTTGTAAAAATTTCTAAAACTTTATTTGGCTATAATATCACCTGTTAACCAAATTAGAAAACTAAATATAACATGTTTATTCGGATTTAAAAGGTTTACACACATCAAGTAAACACATCTTTTTAATAAGGACATAATTCAACTTGAATCTTGCCAATAAAACAAGGCAATAATGTAATAATATCAAAAAAAACAGTATTTCTCTCATGTAATTATTTCTGGATATGATTATGCGAATTGATTTGAAAAAAAATTACTATAAGTTCGATATAAATATAGTAAATCATTTTACAAGCCACTCTACAAGGAATTTGATTATAAGAACCGTCAGTTTATTATAAAGAGAGCCATATATTTAAGACAAACATCTTTTAATGTTAAAATATGAAAGGAATAGTACGCGTTTTTTTAGTGCAGCGTCACACGCACGATAAGTATTTGTAATTTTTAAATTTGCGTCCGAAATTAAGTTACACTTGATGAAGCAATTTTACTTGTCATCACGCGTGTGTGGACAGATGAACCTTGAATTGTTAAATTGGGAGAGTAGTAGAGAAAGAGATGAAATAGGTCTTCGAATGTAACTCCGATAGAAAAAGAATTTGATTTGATGATTCTTATGACCATATATATAAATTATGGATTATTTACGACATACGTCATGACGAAAATTTTTTAATATTTTCGCCATAGCGTTTCAAAATGTTATTGGCAAGATTATTTTCCCCTGAAATAAATTATTTCGTCTGCAAATTATTTCTTATGTAGAAATTATTTTAATCTGTAGAAATTATTTTTGCCTATCGAAAGTATTATTACTGCCGATATTTCCAAGCCATAAATCAAGTCTAGTATTAAATGTATATTACATTAGGAATGTTTGCGAAATTTGGGTATAATCATTATGGATTAGATTTATTATGTGATGATTTACATTTGGCTAACGTGCCCAAATTTCACAAACGCGCTGTAATGAAAATAGGTAGAAAGAAATGTACTACCGGTGTATAAAAATGAATGAACATAAAATGAAAAATTTAAGAGTATTAAATTATGGGGAAAAATTAGGAAATAATAAAAATTTTTTGCTTTTCGACATTCTAAATTATTTATGGTATAGACTATTAAAATAATTTTAGCCATTTAAATTTACTCCAAGAGCAAAACAATATAGACACCGAACTTAGATGAGCTTTTAAATACTTGAACAGAATAATATGTAGAAAAATCGGTTAAAAGGGGATGATTATGGTAATGAATGAATACCTACTTTATTAAAGAAAAATTATATCAATGATGGATGATATGAACGAAAGACTCTTAATTCCTTTATTACTCGAAAGTGGAAACTTTTTATAATTATTTGAACCGATTGAGGAATTTTTGGCCGGCTTAACTGGCTGGTGACTAGTTAACTGACTGATTAATACTTTTGGGCGTTTACATTTATCGTTATTATACAAAATAACCCTGGAACTTTATTTATTTATTATGGTAACGTAATCTTGCAATACGACAATTTAATATTTAGAGACACTGCGTGTATGTTTAATAATCAATTTAACAAAATTTATATTCGGCTATAAGAGATCCCTTATACAGCAAAGTATTTTGCGGGCATATTTGTCAGTTTGCAGACACCCAATTACATTTATTGATACTGTAATTAAATCACGCAGTGTATCTTACGAGTCGCATGTTATAAAGATAATCTCAGAAGTTCGATGTAAATTAAAGATGGAGGTATTCATCAAGACATAATATAGAAGCTTATTCATTTGTTGATAATATAAGTATATTAATGTTTAACATTTAAACTTTATTGTAACATATATAGTATATCATAAAACGAAGACATTTCCAAAATTGATAATGATAAGTTAACGTTAATTTAATGTATCATCAGGAAACACTAATTTAGATAATCCTTCAGTAATTTGATTCACATCTATAAATTTGCTAGTGTATATTTGGTTTGGATGTTTTGGTTTGATTAATTTTGGTTTAATTTTGTCAGCTTTTAAGAATTGTTTTTTGATCTCATTATCATCATCTTGTTCTATTTCGTCTAACCAATGAAGGATTTTACTACTAATTACAGTTGCAGTAGGTCTTTTACTCGGATCTTTGTTTATGCATCTTTTAGCTAATTTAATGTAACAATCTGGAGTTCCTGGCGCAAATTCTGGCCTTAAAGGATTTTTTTCGTTACAAATTTTTAATGCAAGTCGCAAGTTAAATGTTTCACCATCGAAGGCTCTTTTTCCTGTTGATATTTCTATCATGATAATTCCAAGACTGTAGATATCAGATGCCTGTGTGAATAGTTTACCCATCAAGACTTCAGGTGCAATATAAGGCATAATGCCACAAATATTTCCTTCATTTTCATTTTCGGAAGAAAGTCCTAGATCTGTGATGTAAGCGCTATATAAATTTTCTTGCAAGATATTGCCACTATGTAAATCTCGATGAACAAGTTCTTGAGAATGTATGGATTCAAGATCTGAAGCAATACAATACACTAGATTGAACTTGTCTTTCCATCCTAATTGAGACACAGATTCGAGATTCTGACGTAATGATCCTTTATTTGCATATTCCAAGACAATGATATAATCTTTAGTAGTATTATCTCTTGATACACCATGGCATCCTAAAAATGATGGATTTTCGTAACCTATATCGCAGTAATTCTTTAATTCTTGAACGAAATTTTTAACATCTTTGTTCGAACCGTGAATGAGTTTAAGTGCAACATCTTCATAAATATCATCGTTTTTATTATACCAAGACGCATAAAATACGGTAGCGAATCCACCTTTTCCTATTTCTCGTATATATTCGAATTCGTCGTAATTAATCCATGATAATTTATAATTTTCATCATTCAGTATTTTTTTAAGACTATTATCGATATCTCCACATGATGATTTATTAGTTATTTTAAGGCTTCTTTCTTTTCGATACCAATGATTGGCTCTTTGGATATCTCTTTGTACTCCGATTCCATTTCGATAACAATAACTGAGATTACTTATTCCACCAAGATTATTCATACTAGCAGCCTTTTTGTAGCATTCAAACGCTTTGTATTCATCCTTTTCGATTCCGGTTCCATCACGATAACAATTACCGAGATTATTTATTCCCATAGCATGACCCATATCAGCGGATTTTTGGTAATAAACGAATGCCTTATGTTCATCCTTTTCAACGCCGATTCCATTATTATAACAATAACCAACCATACATGTTCCACTAGAATGACCCATATCAGCGGATTTTTGATAATAAATCAATGCCTTATTTTCATCCTTTTCAACTCCAATTCCATTTTCATAACAATAACCAACATAATATATTCCTTGTGCATCCCCCATATCAGCAGATTTTTGATAATAAATGAATGCCTTATTTTCATCCTTTTCAACTCCAATTCCATTTTCATAACA